AATGTTGATTTCAGATAAAATTAACATGTTCCAAAGGCAGGAACTATTCCACAAATATTTGTGGATTTTCACAATAATAAGCTACATTTTTCATATCTAATCACTCCTTTTAAATGCTTTAAACATTTTATTGTTTTTGTTACACACACACACGAAAAAAAACTTTTTGAAGAAAAAAAAAAGCACAGCTTTGTGATTTGTGTTGCATTCACACACAGAGGTAGTGTAAAAAAACATCCATCGTCCTTCATATGTGAGGCACAAAAGACAAACTAAAGACCGGGTTTGTCGCTTATCTGCTCAGATGAGTGTGAGCAATAAATCAGAATCCATCATGTATCTGGATACTTCACCCTGAATATTAAAAGGTTAGACATATAATTTTACTGTTTTTTGCCACAGAAGTGCATCTTTTTCTGTCTGAAATGCTTCAGTGCACATGCTCGGTGCACCGTGTCAACACATTAACGTATAAATGACAATAATTTTAAGGCAAACGTTTTCTTTCTGCTACATGTTAAAAACCTAATATTAGTAATTAAACGTGAAGCGTTACAAAAGTTGTCTTTAAGGTTAGTGGAATTTAAGACACACTTCAGGTCTTAATGACCTCCGTTGGCTCTTGTGTCCTCGAGTTTTTGATGATCCATGATCTTGATGTTCTTTTCGGCGTTCCCAACGTTCCTCAGCAGACTCTCTAGCCTCCGCTTGATCTTCTTCTGGTCCTCCAGGGCGCAGCTGATCACCACGGCCTGAAACTTCTGGTCAATGGGGACGGGCGGCGCTTCCGTCACGCAGGCGGCGTGCAGGGCCAGCAGCTGCTGCCGGCCTCCTTCCATGTCGCTCAGGAGCTTCTTCACCATCTCGTCTATTATGGAGGTGGCCTTGCGCAGCGCCTCCTCCTGCTGGAGGTTTCGGATCGTGCCGACGGAGATCTCCACGGACAGGGTTCGACCCATCAGACGGTCCGCAGTCAAAGTCAACTCCTCCCTTTCACCTGCAGACAAGGAAGGGGAAACATTCAGAAAACGTCTAAGAGTCAAATGCACAAGACCTTCTTTGGAGTTATTCCTTCCACTTTGTCCATCAACATGACGACCCCACCACACGCGCTTTGACAGTTTCTTTAGATTTAAAGCCTCATCTTGACTCCTACAAACATACTTCTTGTAAGTGGCTTAATAGCATGATCTAAAACTTTTCTCTGGTTTGGTTTATCCAGCTGCAAATTTCCATTAAACTTGAAGAGGGTGGTTCCTGGGTTCTCGAACATCTTAACCAATTTCCTTTCATCTGAGGGTGGTAGTTTGGGTCTTGTTAAAAACCTTGGCTTCACGCCCAGTCGGATGTTTGAACTGATGGTCTTGAAATCTGGAGTTGTTTAGAAGTGGCTTCAGAAGCTTTTAATAACTTTTGTTGTATCTTCACTGCATTCCTTGAATTGTCCCATTGTTCTGAGTTTTCCTTTACTCGTTAAGTACCGTTAAATAAATGTTTTTTTTTAAGCTGGCTAAGGAAAACGATCAGCTGCAGTCATTCACGATCACTAATGAGAAACACTCAGCCTTGTTCACTTATATCTTCTAGACCAGGGTTATTCAACTGGTGGCTCTGGGGCCAAATCAAGCCCACAGGGTGTGCTCAGTTTGGCCCACCAATGGGCTCATTTGTAAACAAAACTCATTTTAAACCGTTAAACAATCTTACTTCATGAGAATAACTGCTGGATGTCCGGCCCCTGAGCTCTTGGTTTTCAGTAACTGTGGGCCCCTGGGCAATTTAGTTGAATAGTTCTGTTCAGGACTGTTCAGCATCAAACATTTAAAAAAAAGGTGGGTGCACTTCAGCTCGACATACAAGTTCAGAATCAACTTTATTGTCATTGCACCGAAGCACGACGGACTTACATTTCATTACAGTCCGTTCAAGTAAAAACACAAACGGACATGGGAAGACGGAGGTGTCTGAGGCTGCGGCCTCATGGGAGGCGCCACCCTTTTTTGTTTAGATAAGGAAAAGAGAAACACAGGGAAGAGAAGGTGTAAAAAAAAACAAAAAACTACCTCAGCACAGAAATAGCACCATAGTGATATAATACATATGAGGAAGGTCGACGAAGGCCGTGTTTGTTCATGGACATTGCCAGATAGTTCCATAGTCCAGATAAGAGATGGTACAGTGTCTATCAGCCGGCTCAGCTCTGATACAGGTCCACAGATGTCCTCAGGAAGGGAGCGGGTTGTGGGGGGTCAGAGCTTCTTATTCACGTAACATCCAGGAGAGTTTTGGATAGTTGACCAATTCAAAGCTGACACGGGGGAGCCAGATTCAAATAACAGTTATTTTGGGTCAGGCTGACTGACCCCAAGTTTGCCTCAGTACAGATTAGAAAAAAATCCACAATAAAATCTAATTCATGTATCCATTTATTTAAAAAAAAGTCATTGAAGTTGTATGTTGCATAATCATTTCACCATGGAAAAAATAATTAATTATTAAAAGCCCCCAAATTAAACATGCCTATGACAGTGAAATTAAACTTTGTAAATGCGGTGGCATTCAGGCTCCAATAAATTAGAAATATACTTGATTGATAACTGCACTAATGCATGTTGGATCAAAGCAGGATTTAATCCCACATAATTCACAAGGAGTGGACTCTTAATCTTTTTTTTTCATATGGCTGAAAAAAACTAGCCTTTAACAAACTTGCACAAAAAAGTTTTTGTATTTCCAGCCTGGTAAAAATAATGGATTGTGCATCTGGAGTAAAGCACCTTAAAGCACTTTAACTAAATCAAAATACTTTTTACATCTGTTATTGTTTTTTATACATTTTCATGGTTCTATTTGCACCCTGATGAACTTAATACATGTAAATACTGTTTGATTTAAATTTACTGTTCTTTGATTAAATCGTTATTTTCTATTTCAATAATTGCCCGGCCCGTGAAAATAAAAGTGGTTACAGAATACATTTCAATGTGTGTTGTACTTGTACGACTTAGTGTCCAATAAAGTATCTTGAATCTTGAATGTACTTACCGTGGAAACAAAAACTGGAATAAATACAACCAGGCATAGTCGTTTTGCTTATGTGCATCGTAGTTTAACGATACAGAGGTGAAACATGAGCCTGATTCATTCCTCGTGGGTGGAGTGCTGACTCTTGTTTTTCTCAAATCTCCCCACAGCTTCCACAAAGCATAACCTCACTGGATCACAATGCCAGAGTGAGATCAGAGAAATGAGAAAAGTACAGGACTCCAATTAAAAGCCTAGAATTCCTTGAAGGAATGCATATCACCCGCCACCTTTCATGCCAGAGATTTAAACTAAACTCCAACCTTATAGTGTGTTACTGCAGTTTAGGTCAAGCCTGGCCAATGACGTCATTGGGCGGTGGACATCTTTAATTGGGTTGATTCCACCACAGACATGTAATTAGTTACAGATGCTCATTCAAAGATTTGCATCAGTTTCATTCAAATCCGTCCAGTGTTATTTTGCTAACAGACAAACGACTCCAATGCTCAAGTTTTAACAACAGATCTCACAGTTAGTGCTCAGAGTATACTGGGGATGACTCTCAGCTACTACCATACCAAATTTTAGCTCAAACACCTGTAAAAGGGACCGAGTTAATCGTGTTCATGCTTCCCAAGAATAATAACTGTTGTTGTTTCGAATGAGTCTGACTCTACAAAATTATCAGCTGTAGATGCGCATGACATGACTCCCTGGGTTTGTTAAAACCCGCTGTGTGGTTCAGGGGATATTTTGCTAACAGACAAAGAAGGTGTGTGGAACAACCCGCAGCCTCACCCGCGCAGATGTTCCGCATTTCCTGACAGTTCTGAATGGACTGAATCATTTCCAGGATGGACTCCCTTTCCTGCTCCATTGCGCATGCGTCTTCGCGTAAAGCCTCCACTCTGACGGAGAAACAAGAAACAAATCCCGTCAGTTTGCTGCACGAGTAACGAGGGTTGTTTTGGGTTGTTCCGTTTCCTCGCAGCTCAAATGGACACGTGGTCCGGGCCTGTGGCCGAACTGTACCTCATTTCCAGCTGATCCAGGTTTTCCAGGAGCTGCCCGGAGCGGTCGGCCATGGACAGCGTCCTGTGGAACTTGCTGCAGGCGGCTTCGTTCAGCTTTGCTTGGATTTTCGCCTGAGCCATGTTGCTGCTGCTGAAGATGATGATGATGAGGGTCGCTTTTCCTTTATTTCTCCAACCCGTCCGGTACCGGATCCACCACCGCGCGTCCAGTTCTTTGGAACTCCTCGAACTGAAGCAGCAGCGCCCCATGGGGGGAACATTTCCAAACATGGGCTGTGACTTCCCTCTCCCCTCCTCCTGCAGAAAGTTCCCGAGGGGCCCAGAGCTGGGGGGGTTCTCAAGATAGGGACCGCGGGCCACTCGAGGGCCAGGAGAAAAGTCATCAGGTCCGCAGAAAAGAATAATTAATCCTTCAACTAGAATTTTCAACTCATTTTATGAGGCTAATTAAAATGTTTTCCCGTTTAACAAAATCATCAACCACGTGATGAGTTTTAAATCATAATAGCTGCGAAAATACACATTTTTCAAGTGGATTTTTACACTTAACACAATTTCTACATAATTAAATAATTGTTTGGAAGTTAACTTCCTCTGAGTTTTTGTTAAAACTGAATATGAAAACAGCTGATATTCCTCACCGTTGTTTACAACTAATTTGCCCATCAGTTACAGAAACTGTTATTCTGTTTATGTCCAGCTCATTTAAATACTGTATGATCAGCACCAACTTTTGCTTTAATGCTCTCCACCGCTCGAGTTCCTCCCCAAAAATGACTCCATCGTCTCGTCAGCCTTTAGTCAGTTTCTTACCAGAACTTTTTCACTTTTGACCTGGTGTCTCAGATTCTGTTATTTCCCCTCACATCTGAAGATTATTTTACTGATTCAACATTACTGCGAGACTGTTCGAAGCGTTCTCGTCAATGTTCAAATGTAAGCAACTTGTAAATGCCAAATGGAGGCGTAGGTTCGCATCCCACTTCTGACACCATGTTGTGTTTTGTGGTAATAAAGACTATCAGCTTAACGCTGAACAGGATCTTTAATATGCACACGCTGCATGAAACATTCAACACGCACATGCTCATATGCACCTGCTGGTAGCTATATGCTAAGGACCTTACTGTGCATGTGCAGAACTCCAGTATCTGTGAGGTCAATATTCAATGCTAGTGTTCACAGGCAATATTCTACAACACTGAACCCCTCATTGCCTCTGATGTGTGTCCCATCGCTGTATGAATGTGATAAAGCACTGATTAGTCTTTGTAGAGATCTAGTAGAGTGCTGTATGAATGGGTAAATGAGGGCACAGATTGTGTTGTAAAGCACTTTGAGTATCTTGATAGGATAGAAAGGTGCTATGTAAGTGCAGTCCATTTACCATTTGTAAATATTTTGTGGTTATTTTTTTTATGACAGATTCACATATACAATACAAAAAAATCCCATATGTTGACAGGTATGATGGTTTTAATGAAATGCTCACTGTATTGCATCTACAACAAACTTTTGGTGTCAAATCCAATGAAGATGGCCACTGCAACTAGTTGAACTTACCAAACAAAAAGTGATTTAACAGTCGGTTTTACAGATACTGAGCTAAAACCTGACAATCAGTTGACACCCCAAATACTAAAAGATATTGCAATACCACACAGAACATATTTTAAGATTTAACCAAAAGTGCATTTCTCGACAATACATAGATGGTCTTACTTTTTAAACTTTGGCATGAAAGATGACGTGGTAAACAGAACCTGTTAAATTCTGCACTCAGTCCTGTTTAAGCTGACTTGTAAAGACTCATTAGCAGCTAAAACTCTGAGGGTTACTGTTCACCTCCTGGACAGCAAGAATTCCTCAACTACCTTGACTGACCTTACAGAAATTATACAACGCAGTGATTTCCAGACATTTCTGCTTCTAACTCACAAAGAAATAACAGATTTACAAACCAAATTATTGCCAGTGAAAATATACAAAGAGCACAAAAACGAAATAAAAATCAGTTAAACACATGACAACGCAGCTTTGGCAACTATTCTAGTCTTTATCAGTTTGATTAGTTTATCTTAATTATAATTTTAACTATTATAATAAAATATATGTTAATAGAAATCATATTAAATTCAAGACCTGTCACTTGGTGAACCAAAGTTGCAGAATGTAAAGGACACAGATGCACAAAACTTGTGGAAATGTACCAAAATGAGGTTAATGAATATAAACATTCTTATAACAATTGAATTCGCTTTAATGGAAAATAGTCCACAACTCGAACTGTCTGAGAGCTTCACCTGGTAAAAACTAGGTCAATGTACCGTATTTTTCGGACTATAAGGCGCATTAAGCGAAACTAAAACATTCTGACAGATTTTTGAGCGTCGTGTACACATAAAATCAGTCCGAGGTCACTAAACACGATCAGACTTAATACATAAGGTGCACCGTATTATAAGGCTCACTGTTGATTTTGGAGAAAATTAAAGGATTTTAAGTGTGCCTTATAGTCGGAAAAATACGGTATATTAAAAAAAAAAAAAAAAAAGACAAAAGGCCCAACCAACTTGTAAAATTTCTTCTAGATATGGGTAAGAATAGCTGGTAATGAGACTATTGAGAATTTTTTTCGTTCTTTATAGTTCTAATAGGTTGAAATCATTTACAGTGTTTAATGTATTTTTAGTAGCACCATTGGTCATTTTACTCACTATAACTGCTTTTGGTTTATTAAGTGTTTACAACCTAATTGACCAAATAATGTTGAGTATTTTTAGTTAGTAAATTGGTACTAAATGGTTTTCAAATAAAGGGTAAAATCATGCTCCAAATGAAGTTTCAGTATAACATCCCTGAAACACAAAAAGTATTTTTTATTGATTTGTGAGCAGCATAAATCCAAGAAAAACTCATTTCAAGTTTGTGACGAAACCTGAGTTGAAGACATAATTAGCACCGTGGTCACGTGCTTGGCTGAGGCACCTTGCAGTAACTGATATGACCATGTGCTTCACATCAGAAGAGCTGGCATACATCAACAATCCAACTTTCCAAAATACGTAATCTTCATGCTGCAGCTGGATCTGGTCACACGTGTTACATGAACCGAGGAAAGTAGCACTAGTAAAATATCAGGTAACATTTATTTAACATACGTGAATGCAATGGGTCAGTATAGCGGTTCCAATGTGACCGCAGAACAAAAATACTACAACGTGCTCAGAACTCCACAAGACTTCGCGTTAGAGCTTCTTCCATCTCTGTTGAAATAAACAGAAGCACAAAGTGAAAATCTGAACATGTTCAGATGAACATGTTCATTGAGAGCTTAAAGTGAAACATTAAAATAAACTCTGTACTGCATCTGTTCACTGTCAGCCGAGTTTAACAGAACTTCACAAATCTGACTTGAATAACTTACTGGATTCACTTTTATTGGGAGGGGTGGATGTGGGGGCTCTGCTGAAGATCTGACATTAACAGCTATGAAATAAAAGTATAATTTACTGGTTTTCAGTGTTTTTTCCACACAACATGTACAGTTCCTGTAAAGTTGAAAATGTGCTGGTGTTTAAAGAAAAGTGTTTTTAGCTGTTTTGTGGATTAAAGCCCTCAGATCACGGTCACAAAGCACTAATCAGAAAAGTGGAAATGTGCCCACGAACAGGAATGCACTGATAACGAAAAGTAAAGAGAAATATGTTCAAATAGTCACTTTTTTATATTTTCAGTTTTTCATTGCTGATGTTTTCTCTACACGAGACACTGCAGTGGAAGAAAAATGTGTTCATAAATAATTTCAGGCCATTTCCATCAGTAATCCTGATAAATACTGGAGCCGTATGTTTAGAAATTTGATTAATTTTTCTTAACAGATTTGTACACCTGTAAATGACAGAAGTGCTTCCTGGGAAAAGCTTCTACAGAAAGCAGAAGGAAGCATGACGTCAGCACCAAATGTCAACTGGTCGATTACCGAGTGTTTTGTAGGGGTGTAAATCACCAGTTTTACCACGATACGATATTATATTGATTTATTTGTATGACGATACGATTTTTCTCGATATCACAAAGTCTGTCACGATACGATTTCAATTCTATTTAATTCACAAGTCTGCGAGCGATATATTGCGATATTAAATGCCCATCTCATTTACATATAAATAATTTTACAAAAACAATTCAAATAAGATTTACCCATTTTATTTATGTTATTACAGGCACCAGGCATTTAAACAAAAAAAACAAACAAAAAAAAAACAACATTTTTTCTTAATTAATGAAAAAATAAAAATAA